ATTTCTTTATTTTTGTATTATTTTAATTAATTGAATTTTTTTTTTGACTATACAAAGCTGTTTGCAGTATTGCCAAATACCTATCATCCGTGATCTTGGAATTATTTCTGGTATTTAATTACTCCAAGACCACTGATGAATGATATTTGGCAATACTCGAAACAGCTGAACGGTCGCCAAAAATTCAATTCATTAAAATAATAAAAACAAACGAATTTTTGTTGTTGTAGTTCATTACTCTTCGGAACCTCTCTACCAAATACCATAGTTTCTATTAAGTGAAATAGTCACTTCCGACGTGATTGACGTTAAATTTAAAGTAAACAAAATATTATGTAAAAAATAATTCACAGTAAGATGAATTAATTTATTAAAACTGATCCCACAATTAATAGAAATGAGTAGAGGGATAAAATTTCAATAATTTTAATATATCCTTACATTTATAATGTATATTGTTTACAACCGGTAATGTAACAAGTTCACAATCTTGAACCTGTTCTGAACTGCATCGTTCTTAAATCTAACTTCTTAGTATAATTGAATAATTGAAACCAACGAAAAAAAATTAATAGAACTACTAAATAATAAAGTTCCAGAAGTAGTTTCAAGCTTTTAAAAAGTATGGACACAAATTTTTTATCTGAGCGTATTATCCAAAATATCACATAATCAGTGATCATATAATCACTAATCAATGATCATTAAATTTTCAAACAAAATTAAATCAAATACAAATAAAAATTAAATAATTAAATCATATATTAAATTTCCTTGTTCTTGGAGTAACTACTGTACTTAGTATGTGTTTTATAAAAACTATATTAGGCACAAAAAGTCTGCACAGACTTTTATAAACAAGCTCCGTAGGCCAGTTAGTGCAATGGGTGGAACACAGATATTTACTCCCTTCTCCTTTTTCTCTATTTTTCTCATTATCAATTTGCAATTATATAACCCATCCCAAAGTGACAAATTAGCAGATGGTTTAGTGCACTATTTTAACGTGTTGAACAATTTGTCATTAACCATTTATCATTTTATCAAATCTATTTTAAATAAAAAATTGAAAAGTCCGAAGAGAGTTGCTAAATAAGCTTAAGTACTGTAAAATCTATATTAAAACTTATACGTTACTTGTTTTATATTACCGTGTTAGCTATATAGTCCAAGACAGTTAACTAATAACAAGCTTGTTAACAGCACTTTATTACATTTAAAAGTGATTTTATATGTTACTAATTTCTTTTAATAATTCTTTTGAAATAAAAAATTATGATTTTTTGAATGTTTGGTTTCGGATATAGTAAATATCTGACACTGACTAAATGAAAGAAGAAACCCCATAAGAATTTTGTTAATTTTGGGCAGGTTTTTGAATAGAAATATGGCTAGAACACTGTAATGTTTCTGGTAGAACCTTTCGCATTCGAACATTTCGAACTATTCAGATGCAAATACAAACAAGTGTGGAGTACTAGTTTCTGGTGTTAGGGACAGCGTTATCAGAAATTAATAAATATTTATGGTGGTTATAGTGATATAGTGGCCTTTAACAAAATTTATTGTTGCCGGCGGGAATTGCTACACATGAATAATATTTTTTGTAACGATTCATTTGGTTTAGTCTTTATGCTATTATTAATAGTAGATATTCGTAGTTGGCTAAATTATGATTCCAAAATGATCAAAGCATTAATACAACTATGTATTTTCGAAAAATATATATGTATAGAAAAAAAAAATTGATTATTATAAATGGAATCACAGTAAAAAATGTTTGTTTAATAATAGTTTCACGTTACTAATAAATTCTAATATTCATTTTAAAATTCAAATGTCGATACAAATATTGCATCTGTAATATGTTGAAGCTTTTAATACCAACACTTATACAAACTGATTACTCATTAGTAATAAATTTGAAACACTTTTTTATACATGTTGAAGAGCAACTACCCACATGCCATTTCTACGATGCACTTGTACTACCGAATAAGTCTCTTATGCTGATAAACAATTTAATTAATAATAAAAGCTTTATTTAATTATTATATATTTCTATTCAAATAATTTTCATTCAGTTATTATAACTAAATTAAGTACAAAATTTATATCAAATTTGTAAGACGTTTACATTGCAAACATAATTTAATCGAGTATGCCTAGATCATCCAAACGCCTCAACTCATAGGCATATGTATCCAAAACTCTACGATTACTGTATATATCTTTTAGAGTGCGTTCCATATTATTTTCCTCTGTTAAATCACCAACACCTAAGCCTTCCGTTAACTTATCACTGAGATTTGTTTGGGCGAATGGAAAAACGAGCTCATAATACGAAAAGAATTCAGTGCGTTGTACTTCATATAAAATATCGTCTAATGTTGGTATGTCGTCTCTATTATAATCGCAAGCAATGAGTGTAGTGCGTAAGACGTCATAGTAATGTCTAATTAATTCGAGACGTTTAGTTTTCAATACATCCAATTTAACACTTGTTATAAACAAATTGTGAATGTCCAATGCAGGACTTCCTTCAAAGCACATCTGGTAATCCACCTAAAAAAATTAGAGAAAAAATTAAGAAATAAGTAAATAGTTAATAAGATTTAACGTCTTTGAAATATATTGAAAAACTAATAGTTCTATAATATAATAATCTATATCCACATATATTATAATCTAATATATTTATTAAATATATTATTGTGATTTGAATGTGAATTATTATATGTAGCTTTTATTGTTACTATTTGTTACGTAGTTATAACAGAAAATAATATTATTATGAATAAATAATGATATATTAATTAAACTGGCTTTTTTGAGCACATAATGTCATATAAAAGTATATCCAAAAGTTAAAGTGATTGATTGATCTTTTTCGACTTTTCATCTTAACATTTCACTTTAATACATTAATATTCGCAGCATTTTAATATATAAAAATACAAGTATCTCTTATATGATATGTATGGCAAACCATGCTCTTATATATATATATATATATATATATATATATTACATTCATATCTTTAATTTCTTGCGTGTTTTTACCTTAATACTTTATTCTTGTAACGTTATATGAAGAACAGATTGAAGAGCATGGTTTGCCTTACATATCATATAAGAGATAGTTTGATAGTTTGAACTTACAAATATAGCATCTTTTGGACCTTCAGCATCCCTCAGCATAAGAATATTTTTGATCCACAAATCCGCATGAACAAGTACCTTAACTAAAGCTTGTTCTTTTGGGAAAATTTTTAAAATTTTTTGCTTGAAGGTGTCACCAACATTTTTACGCATTTTTTCTGCAATTTTAGCATAACCAGGCCATTTTTCCACAACCTTTGAAGAATAGTTTGCATAATCCTCTGTTAATTTTGCAAGCAGTTCCATTATACCAGGTTCACTCTTGAAGTAGAATTCTTTAAGTTCAGCCATGACTTTTGGTTGCTATAAAAATTAAATATTTGTTGATTATAGTTAATTATCATTATTTTTATACATATTTTAGTTTTCAAAGAAATATAATATCAAATAAAAGGTAAGAAGGACCTAAAAATGTTTGTTAAAGGGGTGTTAATATATAACAAGAACATTCATTTCAAAAATCTCTTTTTGGCTTAAATTCAAAGCCGCCTCTTCATAAAAAATATGACTAGACTTGTCCTCTTTCACACAAGGGAAATGTTCTGTTAGCACGACCGGGCCCATCTTAATGGGATAGTAGCGCAGTCTGTCAAGTAATCCGACAGTAATCCTTCTTATCCCATTGAAGAGGGGTGTTTCATTTAGTTTTTTTTTAAAGTTAGTTATAAATTAGGTGTTTATATAATTTTACTTTACTTAATTTTTTATTAAGGTCACACAATAGTTTTAGTATATATTATTAGTACTTTAGTAAATATTATTAGTAGTCTGATTTATTTAATTATTTTAAAATTACCATGTCTTTATATTTTTAGTTAAAATAATATGTAATTGTAAATCGTATTCAGTTATAGTATCACAACATAATATTTATTCTAACACATTATTATTAATTAACAATTGTTATTATTTATTTAATTATTTAATATTTAATTTATTATTATATATT